TCCGGGGTGCCGGTAACATTGTTTCTTGATCTGGGAGCAAGTTACAGAACGGTGTTCACCTTGTGAAAATATATTAAGCTGTATATTTATGATATTGTCCTTTTCTGTACAGATATTACATTTTATACTTCAATAAAAATGTCTATTATATGTTAAGCTTCATTAAAAGAAAAGGAAAATGGGTCCTGATCTATTGAAACTCAATTAAAAACAAAATCCGCTCTCTAAAGACATTTTCACAACTCAGGGCAATTTTTGCTTGTTATTTACCCAGGGCAAACGAAACTCCCTCAGGAAAAAATAAACAACCTCTACCTGATGAACTCACAAGGAAAAAATGACAAACATTCAAATTTGACAAATACCAACAATGGTATTGATAAGAGTATTTTGTAAACATAAGATTTCAGTTCCCAAAAAGAATACCAGAAAAACCTGTTGGTCAATGAAAACTAAGATTCCTAGGTTTACCACTGTAGGAAGGACACAAACGTGATGGAAGTCTCAGAAGAGGAAAATCAAGACAGGATACGTATAGCATTTTAGAGCCTGGGCGGGATGATTTTAAGGTGAGTCTTGGAGGGTAGGGAACTGGTTGGAATTGGGTAGAATTTATGACATAATAGCTTTGGATAGATGAACACAGCGAAACTAGGATTTTGAAGCAAGTTCTTGATAAATAAGCTATTTGAGTTGGTTTACAATCTAAACCTCCAGGAGCAGGTACTTCCTGGAGCTAGTAGCTAAGCTAGATTTGCCTGGTCCAGTATTGGGTAGTCAAAAACGGGAAAGTATGATTTGGCCCAGAATTGATTAGCGCAGGGACAGGAAAGTATGTTTTTTCAATGACGTATATTTATATTATCAAATACAAAATGATATTTTCAAATATGATTGAAATATCAATCAAATTTCAAATATGATTTCAAATATCAAATATGATATATACAAATACAAAATACTTTCAAATTAAAAATACATATATATTTTAAAATACAAGTATACTTTCAAACACAAAATGATATTTTCAAGTACAAAAAATGATGTACATCTATATTTTCAAATACAAACAATTTATAAACATAGTAAGTAAAAATGCAAATTAACAATACATGTTAAAAATATATTAATATATATTAACAAATCATATAAATGAAAATACGTTTTGAAAAATAATACCCTAACCATTAAATAAAAATAAAGCAAAACAAAAATAAAATAAAATTTAAATTTAAAAAGATTCAAGGACTACCTTTTTATAGATAATGAGCTTTAGCTTGTTTCAAAGAAAGCTTTTCTAGCTTACCTTTGTCCCCCTTAGTTTATCATAAAGAGATTAAGATTCCAATTCAGTTACTGATCATTTTCAGTTCTGTCATGTTGATATTCCTCTTATTCAGAAAGGCTTTGATTAAAGTACAGATTATTCTTATAATAGAAACTTTTGTCAATTGTCAGTTTTTCTTCCTCCTCTTCAGGGTTATGAAGACAAGTGAAGAATTTGCTTCATTCAAAATTTTAATTGAGTGTAAAATAAATTTCTCTTTTAAGTCATTGTTATTTTGAGTCTCTGCTATATGTAGCCAAACCTATTACAGAAAATCCAATAAAAGAAATGCAAACTTTATGGATAAAATTATAAAGCTTTATTGAAAGACATTAAGTTGGATTTAAATGGTATCTTACTATCCATTTCCTTCTGTGCTTCATTTTTGTCACTCAATATTACGTTTCTTATATTTTTCCATTGATCATGTGTATATCAGGAGCTGAGCCCCCGAGGATATCACACCTGGCCACAAGAAGACAAACACAAGGGTGTTCCCTGCAGCAATGCTTGTATAGAATTAAATTGGGCACAACTTGAAGGCCCATAAATAGACTAAAATATTCAATAGTGTATAAAAAGTCAGTTACCCCAGGGCCAGCCTGGTGGCGCAAGCGGTTAAGTGTGCGCACGCTCTGCTGCAGTGGCCCGTGGTTCGCCAGTTCGGATCCCAGGCGCGCACCGACACACTGCTTGCCAAGCCATGCTGTGGCAGTGTCCCATATAAAGTGGAGAAAGATGGGCACAGATGTTAGCCCAGGGCCAGTCTTCCTCAGCAAAAAAAAGAGGAGGATTGGCAGATGTTAGCACAGGGCTGATCTCCTCACAAAAAAAAAAGAAAGTCAATTATCCTCAAATTATTCTATAAATGCAATAAATTCCAATTACAATTCAAGAGGAGTTTTTAGTGAAATTTACAAGCTAATTCTAAAATGTATAGGCAAAATCAAAGGGCCAAGAATAGCAAGACAGTTTTCCTTTTGTTTTTTTGCAGGAAAGCAGTGCCCTAAGCTAACATTTGTTGCCAATCTTAGTCTTTTTTTTTTTCCTTCTCCCCAAAGCCCCAGTGCATGGTTGTATATCCTAGTTGTAAGTCGTTCCAGTTCTCTTTGTGAGCCACTGCCACAGCATGGCAACTGACAGACGGGTGGTGTGGTTCTGCCAGAGGCAAATGAACCCGGGCCACAGAGGCAGAGAGTGCAAAACTTTAACCACTAGACCATCAGGGCTAGCTCAAGACAGTTTTAAGAAAAAAAAGAAAAGAAGGAATTAGAGAAACTTGCCCTTCCAAATATGAAGACTTATTATAAAGCTATAGTAACTGAGACAATTACAGGTATAGTAAATGACACAGGAAAGGCAGAGAAATCAGACCTAGATCCACAAAGCAAACAAGAAAACCTGATGATGGCCAAGGAGGCACTGCAGATCAGTTATTAAAGGATGGTCTATCAATAATTGCTACTGGGATAACTTGTAATACATATAGGTGGGAAGACTCAATATTGTAACATGTCAATTCTACCCAAATTACTCTACAAACTCAATACAATTTTAATTAAGATTCAGGGATTATCCAGGGAAGTTTTTCTTAAAGAACAGACACATGCGCGCGCACACACACACACACACACACACACACACACCAAAGTATAAAGGAAAAGATTGATAAATTTAGCTATATTGAAATTCAGAATGTCTTTACAGTAAAATGTAATATAAATAAAATTAACAGACCAGCCAAAAATTGGAAGAACACGTTTGCAATGTATATAAAAAACACACAATTGCAGGGGCCGGCCCGGTGGTGCAAGTGGTTAAGTGCGCATGCTCTGCTGCAGCGGCCCTGGGTTCCCCGGTTCAGATCCCTGGGCAAAGCAAGGCACCGCTTGGCAAGCCATGCTGTGGCAGAGTACCATGTGAAGTGGAGGAAGATGGGCATGGACGTTAGCCCAGGGCCAGTCTTCCTCAGCAAAAAAGAGGAGGATTGGCAGATGTTAGCTCAGGGCCGATCTTCCTCACACACACAAAAAAACACACACGATTGCTACGTAAAGTAAATAAAGAAGTCCTACAACCAAAACTAAAGATAAACAATAAAGAGAAAACTGCACAAAACATATGGACAATTTACAGACGAGGAAAACAAAAAAAAACAATAAATATGTTAAAAGATACTTAACCACACTGTTAACCAGGGCGATACGCATTAAAACCAGGCCTTGGCAGGGCCTGGTGGAGGAGATGCAGCTAGGGCCAGAGACCTGAGCTGAGAGGGGCGGGGAGCAGGGTGAGGCCTGAGTGGGGGCGGAAGCAGGCCGGAGGAGCTGTGGAAGAGGTGTGGGCGGGGCCTGAGCTTAGATGGGTGGAGCTGAGGGCGGGGGCCGAGCTGAGGGGGCGTGACCTGAGTGGGATGGGGTGGGCGGGGCTTGGGCGGAGCCTGAGCAGAGAGGGTGGGGCAGGGGCGGAGCCTGAGCGGGAGCGGAGCGGGCAGGAGGGGCCATGG